AGGTCTCAGGGGGCGGGTGGGAGAATTCTTTTGTGTGTGGGTGGAGAGGGTATCTCAGTGCCCCAAGAGTTGGGGGGAATCAGTAGGAGCACTACTGGGATGAGCTGCAGACTGCCCTGTTCCTATAGGGCCAATGCATGCCAGAGGCTGCTAGTTGGGGACAACTGGGACTATATGTTTTCTTCCACCACCTTCCCCCATCTGTGGAAAGTATCGCCAGCCTAACCCTTCTTTGCTACCAGCAGGCTGACCTCTCCCCAGTGCCCATGTGCTCCTTTAATTTGCCTGCACCACAGTGATGTATTTGTGTATTACAAAACTTGGTTCATCCTCCCACTCAAAACACCAGTGCTCTTTGCAAAAAAACCTCTGCCCTTTTGTAGATTGTGGTAATAGTTCAACTGCATATTTCATTATGGTTTCTGTGACAGTGTACCCCATAAGGCTTTATGGGGGGGTGCTTATAAATGTATGTATGTTATAACTGGAATAGGGTTTTGCTACATATGCCATGTAACATATCTATGTAAAGGTTATGATCTACTGGTTATGTTCATCCTAGTTGTATGCAGGCACCATTTGTGTGTTCAAAGTTATGAACATTGGCTGTATAATTGCTTGATTTCTAAGTAGCCTTAGTTAGAACATTTGATCACCTCTTGGGAAAGGAATGTGCAAATTAGGTGCTCAGTCAGGAAGCACTTAACAGACAAAAGAGTTTGGAAGACTCCAGTTCACATAAGAAGTCTACCTGAGGACATTCAAGGTAGCATGTGGGTAACACCTGCTACCTGCAAGTCCTGAGTCATGCATGGGCATGTGACTTGCCCATGTGATTCTGAATCTCCATTTTGTGACTGAATTCTACACAGGGTGAGGAGGGGGGTCTCCACCCACAAGAGAAAGTCTATTTAAACCCCTGGGAGACCCCTCCATTGGGTCTTCAGCTGGCTAAAGAAGGAGCCTCTCCACCCCCTGCCCCCCAGGATACTTAAAGGAAACTGAAACAGAGGACAGTAACTACAGGGGGTGTGAGTAATTACTGGACCTAGGCTAAAAGAAGATTAGCCTGTAAAAGGGAGCATTCTGGAACTGGTGAGAATCTTATCTGTATTTAGTTTAATTAGATATAGATTTGTGCATTTTATTTTATTTTGCTTACTTTGTTCTGTCTGTTACTACTTGGAACCACTTAAATCCTACTTTCTGTATTTAATAAAATCACTTTTTACTTATTAATTAACTCAGAGTATGTGTTAATACCTGGGGGAGCAAACAACTGTGCATATCTCTCTATCAGTGTTATAGAGGGTGAACAATTTATGAGTTTACCCTGTATAAGCTTTATACAGGGTAAAACAGATTTATTTGGGTTTAGACCCCATTGGATATTGGGCATCTGAGTGCTAAAGACAAGCACACTTCTGTGAGCTGTTTTCAACTAAACCTGCAGCTTTAGGGCAAGTAATTTAGACCCTGCGTCTGTGTTGGAGCAGCAAGACAGGGTGCTGGAGTCCTGAGCTGGCAGGGAAAACAGGAATGGAAATAGTCTTGGCACATTGGTTGGCAGCTCTCAGGGGGGTTTCTGTGATCCAACCCGTCACAGTCTCATTATAATTAATATGCTATGCTGAAAGTGTTGTTAGTAACATACATACAATTGTCTGTGAAGACTGGAGGGGAACTTGTGTCAACCTATCCAGGAAAAGAAAGAAAAGCAAGAACAAGGCAGGTGTAATGTACTAAATTCTTAAAATACACAATTTATATTTTTAAATTGTTAATGTATTCATTGCTCCTGAAAGCAGAGGACTGGAAGTATCCTTTGTTACTTTGCATGTATAATGAACCACAATATAATATTCATGACAAATCAGACAAACTCATTTAGCCTTTCTGATTATATCAGTTCTGAAGAACAGATACTGAACAGCAGTCAATACACTACCGTATGTCTATGAAAAAGATGCAGAAAAAATGAACACCTGCTCAAGGAGGTTTGCAGTGGCACAGGATGAAGGCATAGTCTGAGTGATTATTTAAGACCAATTTAATCAAACAAAGGGTTCTTTTAATCCCAAGAGATCAGCCCACACAGCCAGGTCAATATGTAATTCAGATTTTACCCAATAATCACACTGTTGCCAATCCTTTAGTATCTAATATCTAAAGGTTTATTTATAAGAGAGAAGAAAGTGGGCAGAGTTAAAATGGTTAAGGAAAACAAATATATACACTCATTTCAAAGCAGTGATGTTACAGACTGCTGGCGTGTAAAGACTCTGGTAACTTCCAAAAGATTGGAAGGTCCTTAGTCCATTGGTTGGAATGCGCCTTTTAGGGTAAGTCCATAGTCCAAAGATCAGAGCAGGAAAGAGCCAAAATGGAGATGCTTCCAGGGGTTTTTATACCTTCTCCCATGTGGAGGGAATTTTTCTCAGTCTTAGTTTGTGGAAAATTACAGGCACAAGATGGAGTCCAGGATCACATACAGAGGCAGATTAAGGTTTCTTGGGGTCCTGGGCCAGAGCAAGTGGGGGGGCCCCTCCCTACCCCTTCCACCTGAGGTCCTGTTCCTCCCTCCTCCACATGTGACCCTGCCCATGGCCCCACCCCTTTCTGCCCCTTCCCCAGAGCCCTACCCCTATTCCACTCATGGTCCCCCCATTCTGCTCTTCCAGCACTGTGGCCCCAAAACCAGATAAGCTCTCTGAAAGCTCCAGTCTTAGGGCTGCAGGGGGAGTCCCAGTGCTGGGACTTTCCCCACCCTGCTCCCGGCTGCTGATGGGGTCGGTGGGCACTGGGAGCTACCCACACTGCCACTCCCGGTGCTGCTTCCTGGGAGCGGGGTCAGGGCAGTGGGGCTTTTCTCATCCCTCTGGGGCCCTTGGGCATGGGCCCCATAGCCCCAGTGGCTAATCCATCACTGGTCACATGCCCTTGCATGCTTCGATGACTAATAGGAATGGCTATTACCCATGTTTTGGCTAAAGTGTCCACAGAAAGACTCATGGGATGGGGACAAGCTTCTTCTGTGGCTCATTAAGAGTTAACTATTCCTTAATAGGCCATCAACGCATTTGAAATACAGTCAATAGTCATACTTTTAGCTGCAAAGATGATACATGCAGACAAACAGGATAATCATATTTGATAGATTATAACTTACCTTACATGACATACTTTGTATAAGATTTGTTGCAATTGTCTAACAGTGGCAATATTAATTATATAAATGGTCATATTTCAATCATACAGCGTACACAACATACTTCAAGAATCAAAATAGATTTTTTTAAACTTAAAGAAGAGCAAGATCATTGTCATGTACAAACAGGTGCTTAAAAAAAAGTCTTGCTGTGATCTGCCAAATCAACTGCAATCTAATAACAGAGAAAGATGAGTGTGAATGCTCTCAAACAGCAGGAACTAAAATATTCTAATCGGGTTACTACTTTTAGACTATCTCTTGAGGACTAACTTGTCAACAAGAAGGATTTATTATATAAGATAAAACGTACTGTATCTTTGTTCTGTTCATTTACAGATCCACTTTAAAATTTTGAGAGGGCACTGTGATACTGTGAGCTCCTGCCATTTCTGCTTTGAAGATACAAAAATTCTTTCTTGCTCTTATGACAGAACAATGAAACTCTGGGTATGTCATGAATCTAAAACAATTCAACAGTCACGCCATAATAATGTCTAAACCAAGCAAGAAATTTCATATAAGTATGGAGGTTGAGTGAGTCATAAATTGACCTTCTAAACAGCATTTTATTCAGTTTGTAAAATAACTAAACTGTTTCACAGGTACAATTACAGTGTTAACGCTCCTATTCCATACTTTTAACATATTCTTTGACATTCAGCAGTGCTCCATGTAGGCACCTGGAGATGAATGTTCTTATACACTAGTGAGGGAGAGCTCTACTACAATATTATATAATATGTCAAGTCTTTCTGGGGAAAAAAAACATTTCGTTTTGACTTGGGAATGTCATCTTGTGCTGCTTTTATAGTGTTAATGAGGTTTTTTTTCCTAATTGTCATGTTTTTTCCTCATTAATTACCTGAACCTAGTCTCTGACTCAGCAAAGAACTTAAGTATGTATGTAGACCCTATTGACTTCAGAAGGACTTAGACATGTATTTAAAGTGCTCTGCTGAATAGCTGTGGACTTAAGCACATGCTCAAGAATTTTGCTGGATCAGCGCTCTAGTTCTTTGAATAAAATACTTCACAACAATGGCTTGTTACACAATTTTTTATTTCTTTTGATCTGGAGGTTCATTTTGCTCACCATCACATTGTTTGATGTGTACAGTCTTTCTTAGATAATAGTGGGAATCAAGGGTTATGCACTATAGGCACTAGATTTAGCTATCAGCAAGGGCATAATGTTTTTTACACTTTTCATGTGCTGCCTTTTGTTTGCAATGAAGTCAAATCTGTCTGTTCTTTACTTTCTATCTGCTCTGATGCCCTTGGCCAGTTTTATGAAGTTACCTAGGGTTTCCACATAATTCCAACCAGGTTGGTTACAGCAACCAGGGTTAACTGAACTGAGGCACACAAGAACCCTGGCTGATGTTATGTGAAGGTTATTTATTTCAGTCTGTTCTAAAAGATGGCCCAGATCCTTATTCTTAGATAAGTACTATACCTGATGTTCATATGCGCAGCTGACAATTCATTATGCCTGACATATATGAACTGGTTTGTAACTTGATTCAAACACTTCCTGCTGAGGCTGGTATTAAGGGATGGTAATGCCTTAATGTTGTGAATACAGGTGTAGAGGCTATGATGCTATAAAGAGAACTTTAGTGCTGCATTTTTATCCAGATATCATGCTTAGCTTCCATTATGACACGTTAAGAAATTTTCTAGTGAAAGTTTGGGAATAGATGAAGAACAAAGCTATACTTGGGGTCAGCTCAGGCATCCACAGTGTTCAACACTTCCAGGGTATCCAAGAGACAGGACTAATTCCATCCTTCGCTCCTCCCATGAAACAGCTGAAGAGCCGCTCCCTTTTTGATAGGTTTCAAAGCAAATAATCATGATTACAATGGTGATGTTTAAGGAAATATTTGTAGGAGGCAAGACAGTAAATAAATGTGTCCAGCCAAGTGGATCATTAAGATGTTCACAATTTAATGTTGGTAATTCCATCACATTGTCAGAACTACATACTCACTCCTCATCCCATCACAGAATTGGAATTTGTAAAGTATAGATTCTTCTATTTTTAGTGAAAACCTATGATATCAAACTTGCATGTCAAGAGATTTAAATCAAAACAAAAAAATAAGGTAATTGCGGAATCTTCCTTAAGTAAACTAGATGGAGGGGACACATGAAAGCCTCTTCATTGAAAAGAGAATATAATGTATTGAATATTTTTTTCTTCATGTATGGAAGATTAGTACTGTCTGATGTGACTTGCTTATCTTGGGATAGTTGTGTAAGAAAATTTTTATCCAGCGCTCCCTGAGATATTATTTTTTGTCAGGAGCTATCTAAGAGAATCTACCTGAATGTTGAGGGCTTCCTTATAAGCAACACATAAGAGAGACAATGGTTCATTTATCCTGATAACTTCCACTTTGTCAGGACAACTCTGATTTCCTCTTCTGTAGGAGTAGCTGGGCCAGTTAGGATTCATAAAAGACCAGGTTTGATAACAAAGAGCTAGGGAAACTGTCAATTCCACTTTGTTTCTTTTGAAAGAGTAGTTATCAAATGACAGGTTTCAGAGTAGCAGCCGTGTTAGTCTGTATCCGCAAAAAGAAGAACAGGAGTACTTGTGGCACCTTAGAGACTAACAAATTTGTTAGTCTCTAAGGTGCCACAAGT